ATTAATAATTGTATACGGTACAAATAACCATTTCTGTATTTGTTACTTACAAAGAGTAATGTCAATTAATGATACAATAAAATTGAGCATTATTGGACAAACACTTGAATACTTATTGAAAATACAAATAACCTAATAACTAATTTCATATAATAACATTATAACATTGAATACATGTTGAAGATTGGACTGAAGTATAACGTATGGTGTAATAAAAATAAGCAAAATAAAATATATGAAGAAAAAGAAAAAGCCTCTATTTACCATAAGTGTAGCCCAAACAGCGAATTTTCAAGAGCCGTATTATATTTCTTGGGGGCAGTGGCTATCTGTTAGATTACTTCTTTTGCCCAGGACAGGGCAAAAGAAGTCTGCAGTCTGTCTGGAAGCTGCAGACTTCCTGGTACATTTCAACATTGATGTTCGTATTTCTGTCTTTCCTTCGCTGGGGCCTCCATCCATGTAGCTACCCGAGTCTGGTAGTGGCCATTTGCTGGGATGTGTAATTTTTGGGATCTCTTTGGAAGCTATGATTAGGAACTTTGTGGTGGTGGATAGCTGTGGTTGCAACTGAGAGTGCTTAAAGTATGTTTGAGTGGCCATTTACAAGAAGGCTCCAACAATGACAACAGCTGAAGTCAGAGGTTTTGATGGTAAAGACAATGTTGGAATCACCACGGATTCCAGAACCAATAGAAGTGGATCTTCCTGGCACTTGAAAGGATTTTGACAACTGGAAAGTCTTTTTAGGCTTTGGGATATAGTGGTCCCACCAGAAGTTACTGTCCGTCTAATGTAGCTGGTATTTTGTTACTTTACTCCCTCTGATGACAAACTTCACGTGTCTGTGACAATGAATATCAATATCCATCAGTTTGGATTCAACTGATGAATACGCCACCCCTGACGCTAATGTCAATGTTGGTTGGTGAGTTGCAGGCAAACTAAGCTCTATTAGTGACTCTATAGATAGGATTTATTCCCGAAGGGTGGCTGGTGCTTTTTTTGGTGGTTTCAGAACTTTTAGGATAGCTGGAGTCGACATTAGTTGGATTATCTCTGGATATTCCAGTGCTTATATATTCATAGCTTGTGCCAGAGCCTGTATGTCTGTCTGGTAATTTAACAAATTGTTTTCTTCCATAGGAGCCGAACTGAATCGTTTCTTGGGGACTGCAGGGTAGTCCTTTATGTCACCATAAAGAAGGCTTTCCAAGAAATATCACTCCATGTTGATAGTGAAATCAAAATAGTTAAGGAAGAAATGTGAACATTAAATCTTACCTAGCTGGTTTATGGATGAAGTAACCAGGAAAATGATTGATCTTATATCGAAAACATGAGGATTAAGTCTATGTAGTCAATTGCTTCTGACTAATCAAAAGTTCAGATAGAAATGCAAATTTCAGATCTGTAACAACCCAATTACAACTACTACTTTTTCTATAAGTAGGGTTTAGATCAGGGTGTTAAAAGTATTGCTTGGCGATGTACCATTTTGATAAGAATATTTGCATTACCTATAAATACATCACTTGTGTCTGTTAACATCCCAACTCAGCAGCAATTGTCATGGCCTCTCAGCATATTGCTGTAGTTCCCCCTATTGTGACTTCAAGAGCTAAAACATTTACATTTTTCATACACCCATCATCTGGCTGTTACAATGACAGAGCTCAGGTCCAATGGGGAAGGAAGGAGTAAAATTGTAGGCACTGTTTCCTACACCTGTAACTGAAACAGGCTAGTCACTGTAAAAGCACCAAACACTAGCTTTGATCATTGAAATTCATTAGCAAGAAATCTGTCTTCTGCTAGACGTCTTGTCAGAAACAACTTTAACACAGGTCAGTGCAACTTCAAAGCAACACTACACAGTTGTTACTTTCTGCGTTAGGGTTTGCATTCACAATTTGTACTATCATGCATTTCAACTGCACCTTGTACTGAAACATATGTTCAGAAAACCTTCAGTAAACCTATGTGCTTACAAAGCATTTCAATCTACACAATCGAAAACATTGAACCATAAACAAATAAAATGAGTACACCAAGTTTACACATAACATATAAGCTACTATCTGTAAGTTTCTCTTTCCACAGATAATTTCATCCGATCGTGAATTCTCACCCCAAAACCGTATTTTCCCTAAAATGTAGCAAGAGCTCACCCTTTACACTTCAACAAAAAATGCACTACTAAATATTTCAATGTTAAAACTGATAATATTCCCTCATCAACATTAATGCACCATATCTTCCAATAATGCTTCACAGGTCAGTAAGCACAGTTTACTTCATACCTAGAAAT